AATTGGATAGTACCGTTCCTGAGGCTCGGCCGCGCTCGTCCTAGCGGCTGCAGCGCGCGCGGCAAAGGGAGGAAAGGAGGCGTCGACATACGAGAATCGGCTGAAATGCTGAGATAATTCCGAGCACTGCTCTACCTGCACACGACGGTTTAGGCAACTCTTACCGGACACCCTGTATATGTAACACAAATACAATACAAAAGAAAGATACGGAAATAATTACCTAATCTGATATTATAATCTGATATTATATACAGATGAGTGGTGGTAAAAATCTGCTAATAGCAGATTTTTGAGATCATTGGAAGGCGATTTTCCTTAGCGAAAATGTCCAGCCATCAATAATTTTCGAGTTACATGTATAAACGATTGAAAATTTTTCGCAAATTAAATTAAGTTAAAAAATTATCAAAATTACATGCTTTATTAGTTAATTTAGATAAAGTTTATTATATAATAGAATTTTAATTTAAAGTTTAATTATAGAGATATATGATAATAAAAATTAGAAACCTGTAAAACATGATCTCTTAATATTTTCGTTGAGGAAAAATCATCTCCAAATGATCTCAAGAATCTGCCATTAGCAGATTTTTCACCAATTACAGGACACCTTGTGTTCGAAAATCGAACGTCTAAAAAAGCTGAAAGAAAAAACCAATTAAAACATTGCATGCAAAATTCATGCCGTACTCTCATTTCACATGCAGCATGCGTATAATTTATATTATAATAGTCTATCAATTTTTATTTTAACATGCTGACGTTTCATATTATAAATAGCGCTCGGCCGCAAAGGTATAAGTATACCCCGCGCCTACGAAAAATAAGCGCTTATATTAAAACACATTAAATTGTAAACACCGCGGTCGCGCGAGAGGAGATACATTTAGTTCCCAATAACAAAACTACGATTTGCTGGAAAGTAAATAATTACAGTAAACGCTCTTTCGCCCTCAACCGAACGATAGAATAAGAAAAATGTTCGCGAATATTCTAGAAATACAGGCCTATATAAATCTCCCTCTCGTGAACCGCGGCGCTCTTTCCGATTGCTTGTCGCGTCAAGAGTGTGCTTCTACTTTACGAAAAGATCGCTTGTCTTTTTCACGTTTAATTACCGTTGCTTGCGACACTCAGTACTTTATTTTCACGGCTTTTCTCTCGGTTATTGTACTTTCTAATACGTTCGACTCGGCTATCTTTTGGTACATTCTGTGCGGTTTAAATAATTGTATTTTTGTGTTAATAGTTTAAATATATTTTGTTAACGATACGCGTGTGTCGAGTGCAGTGCTTCTCTGTCTTCTCGCTTCCGACCTCCCTATCCTGCTTTCCGTCGCGCACATTATTTGGTCCTTCGAGCTAGAATCTTCTGTGAATCCGGTGCCACGGAAGCGATAGTGAATCAGTGTCGGTGACCAGTGCTTCTGGAAAAAAGAGACAGTGTCAGAGATGGCAGACACAAAGGCAATCATTGCTACCGCCACAGTGCTATACGGCAAGATCTCGCGCGCATACGAGAATCTTCGAAGCTCGGCAAGGCCAATATCACACTCGGCGCGGTGGAGGCTCGGCTTCAAAATCTCGAGAAGCTGTGGAAGAAATTTGACGCAATTAATGATGCGTTAGCCGATCGTGTTGAAGAGATACGACACGACGTCTACGCCAAGCAAGACATCCCTTTATTGGGCAAGGAGGCTTACCTTCAGAACAAGGGCCTCATGCTCGATCTGAAGAGCGCTCTCCAACGATAAATCAGACATCCAGCTCAATTTCGGCAGCGACACCGGCCGCCGCTCCTCGACCGCATTGCCAAAAATTCAGCCGCCGACCTTCGCGGGAAGTACGAAGACTGGCCTTCCTTTCGAGACTCTTCCAGTCTATCATTGGCAGGAACCAGGCAGCCAGACCTGTTGAGAAATTACATTATCTCAAACTCTGTGTCAAGGGTGATGCTGACCTACTCATACGTAACCTCAGCACTACTGACGAAAATTACGAAATCGCTTAGAAGACGCTGAGCGATTTTTACGAAAATAAAAGATTGTTAACACGCAACTATCTTAACAACTTCCTGGCGCTTACTAAAATGAAGAGCGAATCCGCAACTGAATTGGGGCGACTCTTCCACAGCATAAAAACCACAGTCAGCTCGCTGAAGAGCATCGATCGTCCCATCGATCGCACGGAGGACCTCTTTGTGCATCTAGTCATTGAGCTTCTCGACAATCGTTCGCGTCGAGAATGGGAGAGCGACATCAGTCATACGACGAATCCGCCTACCTACGCCGAGCTGGAAGCCTTTATCGAGCGACGGCTTCATACTTTGGAGGCGCTGTTTCCGGCCAAGAGCGACAGCCGCAGCCACATCAATGCGAAATCGACACGGAGCCATCACGTGAAGAAAACGGAACCGAAGGATAAGTCAAGAAGCCGGTGCGCCGTATGCCAGGGCGACCACTTTATTATGTTTTGTGGCACCTACAAAGAGAAGACGGCTCTGGCTCGCAGACAGTTTGTCAGCGATCAAAACCTCTGTTCGAACTGCCTGGGTCGACACCAACTGACTGAGTGCGCGTCAAAAAAAGACTTGCACCACGTGTGGCAGTCGGCATCACTCTTCGCTGCACGATGCCTTCCGCGACGCCGAGACCGCCACGACATCACATGTGGCTCAAGGATCGCACCCCGCCTCTGTCACGGTGTTGCTCGCCACTGCTCGAGTCCGCGTCCTCGATTGCCACGGATTCTGGCATTCCGCCCGAGCGCTGATCGACCAGGGCTCAGAGTCGTCCATCATAACGGAGCGGTTGGTTCAGCGACTGCGACTGCCTCGCATGCCCGCCGCCGTCAGCTTCTATGGACTCGGCGAGAAACGGACGGGAATTGCCAAAGGCAAGGTAAAGCTTACCTTTCGAGCGCACAACGGTAAGTCGTCCAACTCCGTCGCCGCCTTGATCTTGCAAAACTCATGCTCTTCTCCAAAGGATGCCGCCGAAGTCTGCAATCCTGGACACATCTAAAGGACCTGGAGCTCGCCGATCCAGAGTTCAGTTCCGCGGATCCAATAGACCTTCTGCTGGGTGCCGACGTCTACGGAGTAATCATCTGCCAGGGCCTGAAAAAGGGAAGTCCTCAGGAACCGGTGGCACAACAGACCTCTCTAGGATGGATACTGTCAGGCACCATCAATGAGAATGCACGCGGCCAACGTATTTCCTCTCACCATTGCCAGGTGGAGGAAGACCTCACCTGTTTGGTGCGTCGCTTCTGGGAGCAAGAAGAAGTTCGCCGGCCGTCTCAGCTCTTCTCTAAGGCCGAACTAAAGTGCGAAGAGCACTATTGCCTGCATCATTCACGCACTGCCGACGGCTGGTACATTGTGCGTCTGCCCACGATTGAGCCTCTGCCGGACCTAGCAGGAACAGTTCGCTCTGCCCGCCGTGCTCTGCAACACACGGAGAAGAAATTTGAGAGAGACAGCGAATTTCGAACCATGTACGCGGAATTCATGCGACAATACTTGGACCTGCGCCACATAATGCTGCTCCTTCGTCGACGGAATCGCATCCGGGTGTTTGCTACCTGCCGCACCACGGGGTTTTGCGTCCGAACAACACATCCACAAAACTGAGGGTCGTCTTCAACGGCTCGAGCTCCTTGCCAAACGGAGACTTTCTCAACAAATATCTCGCAAAGGGACCGAATTTGCTTCCTTCACTGACCGACATCCTGCTGCGTTGGCGACGTCATCGCTACGTCTTCGTGACCGACATTGAGAAGATGTATAGGCAGATCCTGGTGCACCCTGACGACCAAAGCCTGCAAAGGATATTGTGGAGAAAGAACGCTAACAACGAAATCAAGGAGTACTGGCTGGATACTGTTACTTACGGTCTATCCTGTGCTCCTTATCTGGCAATCCGCACTTTACGCCAACTGGCCGAGGACGAAAGACATCGTTACCCGAAAGGAGCCATCATTCTGCTGAGCGACGTCTACATGGACGACATCCTGACCGGTGCGGAGACCATGAAAGAAGCCGAAGTCATGCTACAACAGCTGATTGATATCTGCAAGGCGGGCGGCTTCTCGCTTAAGAAGTGGTCGGCAAACCACTCGCTACTGCTGAACCAAGTGGGGCCCGACGACCGCCTTCAACAAAAGGCCAGATGGTGGCTGCCCGGCGAGAGTCACTCCACTCTCGGGTTACGCTGGCAACCCCGGGACGATCGCTTCGCCTTCGCCACCAAACGGATCAATCTATCGACCATCACCAAAAGGTCGGTACTTTCACTGACAGCAAAGATGTTAGACCCTCTCGGCTGGCTGTCCCCAACAACAGTACTGGCTAAGATCTTCATCCAGTCAACCTGGTTGCTAGGCCTCGATTGGGACGCTTCGCTGCCAATCGACGAAGAGAGGAGATGGCTACAATTCCAGAGCGAGCTGCCTGCTCTGGAAAACTTGCTCGTACCTCGATGGCTGGGAGGCTTGGCTGACTCACAACGGGAGATCCACGTTCGCCGATGCCTCAGGGCGTGCCTACTCAGCTGTGCTATACCTAAAGACCAAAACAAAGGATATTACTAAGGTGGCTCTCTTAGCTGCGAAAACCAAGGTCGCGCCCTTGAAGCAAGTCTCCTTACCTCGGCTGGAGCTGTCTGCCGTCACTTTTCTGGCTCGTCTAGCCACCCACACCGTACCAATCATCGGAGCAGACAAGGCACCTCTTCATATGTGGTCTGATTCCACCGTCACGCTCGGCTGGATCTGTGGGCATCCTTCGACGTGAGCCATCTATGTAGCCAACCGGGTCAGCAAAATACAAACACTGATCCTGGACCCACTGGCATCACGTACCAGGTCGGGAAAACCCAGCGGACTGTGTTTCCCGGGGGCACTATCCTAGCGAGCTGGTTGACCACCCGCTCTGGTGGCAAGGTCCCGTATGGCTAGCAACGGAGAGCAGTCCTTGAACGACCAACAGCAAGGAGATGTCAGCAGAGGACCTCCCAGAGAGACGAGTCCGTGCTCACGTCGCCGCCGTTGCCGAGCTGAAGCCCGAATCGGAATTGCTGCTTTGCTACTCTTCGCTGAAACGACTGCTGCGGATCACTGCATGGTGCCGTCGCTGGTTGCTGATCCATCGCCAGCTCCGCCATGCGCAAAGTCAGTCTAGCGTGATCAGCGTCGACGAACTGACGGAAGCCCGCATCTCCTGGGTGAGGTTGATCCAGGCTAGAACATTTAAAGACGAGATTAGAAGGCTGCGCAATGGAACGCCTCTGCCGTCGCGAAGCTCCCTGCACAAACTAAATCCTTTCCTAGACTGCGAGGGACTTCTACGCGTCGGCGGGCGCCTCAGAAACGCTCACCTGCAGTACAATGCCACTCATCCGCCAATACTGCCCAGCGAGTCGACATACACTCACCTCGTCATCGACGACCACCACCAGCGGACGTTACACAGCGGGACTCAGCTGACCTTGTGCTCCCTGCGCCAGGAGTATTGGGTCCCTCGAGGTCGCTCGCTGGTGAAAAGACACATCAACCGATGCAGTAGGTGCACAAAATGGCGAGCCGCCATCCCACAGCTTCTCATGGGCGATCTCCTGGTGCCAAGGGTCACGCCAAGCAGGCCGTTTTTGCACACCGGCGTCGACTACGCCGGACCTGTTTGGCTGCGAACGTCGAAGGGCCGCGGACACAAAGCAACTAAAGGGTTCATTGTAGTCTTTGTCTGTTTAGCTTCCAAAGCCGTTCACCTCGACGCAGCCTCGGACTACTCCGCCGACGCCTTCATAGCCGCCTTGCGCCGACTCATCTCCAGGCGAGGTGTCTGCGCCTCCTTGTATAGTGACTGCGGTACCAATTTCGTGGGTGCTGACAAGCAGCTTGGCGCTCTCTTCTCCGCCGCCAGTACCGACGGACATCGCATCGCCGCATTCGCCGGACAAGAGAAAATCCGGTGGCACTTCAATCCACCGACGGCACCGAACTTCGGCGGCTTGTGGGAAGCCGCCGTCAAATCTATGAAGCATCATCTGCGACGAATCATAGGTGATGCAACCCTCATCTGTGAGGAGCTGGCGACGCTGCTCTCTCAGATAGAAGCTTGCCTCAATTCTCGATCTCTCAGCCCTTGTCCGACGACCCAGAGGACGTAGCAGCTCTTACCCCAGGTCACTTCCTGATCGGTTCCGCTCTCTCCGCCGTACCTGAACCGTCGCTCGAACGAGAGCCGTCGGCCCGGCTTTCACGCTGGCAGCTTCTGCAACAGATGAGGGACCATTTCTGGTCCCGGTAGGCCAGCGAATACTTACACACGCTGGCCCATCGGTCAAAATAGTCCCGAGTCAATTAGGAGGCTCGCGTCGGTCGGCTGTGCTCCGCAGCGAAAACACTTCACCAACGCGGTGGCCGCTTGCGCAAATCACTCGATTGCACCCCGGATCCGACGGCCACGTGCGCGTAGTCGAAATCCGTACCGCGAGTACGAATTTAACGCGCCCCGTCAGCAAACTGATTTTTCTGGACGACGGCAACGAAACTGCACAATAATTCAGCGTCATAAGTCTTACTCTTTTCTCATTGCAGCACAAAAATCATCTCTTCTTTGTCACTGCTCTATTCATTCCTCTTCATCGTCACTCCACTTACATGACACCGACCTACTGTTATCTCCTTTATCACTGCACTATCCTCATTATTACACTATTTGTATCATTATAATTCACGAGAGATCCGAATACCAAAATTGTCACGGTCTTCGCGACGCGTTAACCAATATGCGTCTATACCGTCACGTTCGAAATAAACAGTTGATCGATTCAGCATTCTTTTGCGACATCAGTCAGAGCACGTGAGCTACACGTGTCTGTCACTCGTGAGCGCGTGAATAAGCGCGCGCCCCCACTCTCGCACTACAAAGTCGATTGCAGGTATACTGCAAGGCGGGCGGAATGTTCGAAAATCGAACGTCTAAAAAAGCTGAAAGAATTAAAACAATTAAAAACAATGAAAACATTGCATGCAAATTCATGCCGTACTCTCATTTCACATGCAGCATTCGTATAATTTATATTATAATACAGTCTATCAATTTCTATTTTAACATGCTAACGTTTCATATTATAAATAGCGTTCGGCCGCAAAGTTATAAGTATACCTCGCGCCTACGAAAAATAAGCGCTTACATTAAAACACATTAAATTGTAAACACCGCGGGTCGCGCGAGAGGAGATACAATTTAGTTCCCAATAATAACAAAACTACGATTTGCTGGAAAGTAAATAATTACAGTAAACGCTCTTTCGTCCTCAAACGAACGATAGAATAAAAAAAATGTTCGCGAATATTCTAGAAATACAGGCCTGTTTTGTTTCTCGTTGGTAAAACCTTGTATAGAAGGTTCGCACGCCAAGGCGGTAGTTTTTGTTAATGGTCACTCGCGGATTCGTTTTAATATACTTTTATTCAAATCACAAATTATAACAAGAGTGTTAGAAACGAGGCGGACGATATTTCAACAAAAGGTGTATTGATCTATCTCGTCTCGTGGCTGGACGCTCAATAATGATCCGAGACACGTAGCCAAGGCGCGAAGCGAGAATTTTGGGGATTTGCGCAGGCGATTCGCGTCGAGCAAAGGAAAAGACAGGCGAGTAACACGTGGATCACATGTGTTTTTGACGTGTTGTCCCGCGTTGGCGCGAATAATTACTGAGATGTCGAACGATAATATAAACGGAGAATTGAACGACCTATACTTTAGGATTAGGCTTATTCCTGAACATACCGCCCGCCTCGAATGTAGGCATTCGAAAAAGTACAAATGGTTTAACAATAATAAAAGACATAATGGAATAAACGCTGTACAAAGAATATCAGTATCTCGTAGATACTTCAATAACAAAGAACGGGGTGTTAGCGCATATTAAGACGAGATTCCGCCCGCCATAACGGAATCTTTTACTTCTTCGGTATTAATCGCAACAGGCAAGAAGCATAGTTTCACGATCGGTCGTTTATATTCAGAACGGGAGGTTTTGACCGTGACAACGCGCGTCAGGCCATCTTCTCCTGGATGACAGGCGACAATTCGTCCAAGGTCCCAATGGCTGGGCGGAGCCAAGGGATTACGCACTAGGACTATTTGGCCAACTTTGGCAAGTCGCTGGATAACGCGCCATTTTGGGCGTTGTTGAAGAGAATGCAAGTAATCGCTTGACCAGGACCGCCAAAACTCTTCCGTCAGACGTTGAATCATTTGCCAACGCGACAATCGATTCTCGTTAAATTCAAGCACGCTTGGTTCGGCGGGAGCGAGAAGAGAGGTACCGATCAAGAAATGACCAGGCGTTAACGCGTGATAATCGTCAGGATTATCGGAGACGGGAGCGATCGGACGAGAGTTTAAGCAAGCTTCAATGCGACAAAGAAACGTGGTCATTTCTTCAAAAGTTAATGTATGGAGGCCGATGCAACGCTTTATGTGGTATTTGACGCTCTTGACACCGGCTTCCCACAGTCCGCCGAAATGTGGTGCGGCCGGGGGTAGGAACTGCCACGCAGTTCCATCGCTAGCGAGACGATTACGAAAGCTTGGATCGCGAATTGCTTTCGCGTGAGCTTCGGATAATTCTCGATTAGCGCCATGAAAGGTTGTACCGTTGTCTGAGTACATGGACTGCGGTAGTCCTCGGCGGGAGACAAATCGCTGGTACGCTGCAATAAAGGTCGGCGAGCTGTAATCGGAAACAAGTTCTAAATGCATAGCCTTGGTCGTTAAACATATGAACAGCGCAATGTAAGCCTTTTGCGATTTGTGTCCTCGGCCGGGCGCGGTTCGGACAGTGATTGGTCCAGCGTAATCAACGCCAGTATGTATAAATGCGCGAGCGGCACGGTTAACTCTCGCCTCCGGTAGATCGCCCATGAGTTCGACAGGTTTTTTAGCGCGCTCACGAGTGCATTGTACGCACTGATACAGAACAGCACGAACGGTAGCGCGAGATCGGAGGATCCAAAATTCATTACGTAATGAAGCGAGTGTTAATTGGGGACCAGCATGTAACGTTCTGAGATGATGATGCTGAATAATAAGAACTAGCAATGGATGTGCTCGTAATACGAGCGGATTCTTCGTCGTTTCTGAAAGGCAAGCATGACGGAGCCGTCCTCTGATGCGAAGAAGTCCGTCAGCGTCCAAATAAGGATTGAGTGTGGATAAGGAACTAGTTTTTTGTAACGGAAGTTGCCGTTGTAAAGTCGAGATTTCAACGGAAAACATCTCGGATTGCATAACTCGGAGCCAGTAATGTTTGGCTTTCTGGATCTCTTCGGGATGGAGGATCGCTTGTGAAGACGATGCGCTTTTAGAGGATCGGAGTCGATAAAGAAAACGGTAAAGATAAGCGGTAATTCGGAGCAATCGAGGCCACGAAGAATAACGTGATGCGAGATCCCAACTAGGGGTTACATGTAAAGAATGAATAGGTGGTTGAGAACGCTGTTCAAGGGCGGTCTCGGCTGGTATCGAGAGCTCGCAAGTCGGCCAGGATTCTGGAGATTGGCAAAGCCATGAAGGACCTGACCACCATAAATTATAATTTGCGAGAGCATGGGGAGCTAGACCGCGAGAAGCACAATCGGCAGGATTGTCCTGCGTTGGAACATGACGCCAAGAAACTTCAGGCAGCAAGGACTGAATGATCGAAACGCGATTGGCAACGAAAGTTTTCCATCGAGATGGAGACTGACTTAGCCAAGCGAGTGTGATGGTTGAGTCGGTCCAACAGTGACATTCGATACTCGGAAGTTGAAGAGCGGACCGCACATAATTAACTAACCGAGCGAGAAGGAGCGCCGCCGACAATTCCAATCGGGGAACGCTTATCGTCTTGAGGGGAGCCACTTTCGATTTTGCGATGAGAAGAGAGATGTTAATTGAGCCGTCGACATTAACAACGCGAAGGTAAACAACGGCTGCGAAAGCCATAGTTGAGGCATCGGAAAAGCCATGGAGTGCGCTGTGCAGAGTATGAGATCCGTGCGTCGTCCAACGCGGAATACTGAGCGTCTCGAGATGCGGTAGTTGGTGATGATAAGTTGCCCAGTGGTCGAAATGTTCACCCGGAATGTCGTCGTCCCACTGACATTGGATCGACCACAATCGTTGCATAAAGATCTTTGCACCGATGATGACGGGAGCGGCCCATCCCATCGGATCGAAAAACCCAGCGATTGTCGAGAGAATAGCTCTTTTCGTTTTTCCCGGCGAAGACGGGAGAGATACGCGAAGTTGAAACGCATCGAGCTTTGGATTCCAACTAACTCCTAACACTTTAAGGTGTTCATCGTCTTGGAGGACTTTGTGAGTGGCTAGTCCATGATCGGCAGGATCGAGGTCTGACAAAAGATCTGGAGAATTACTTGCCCACTTTCGTAGGCGAAAGCCTCCTTTAGCGAGAAGCGCGATTAATTGGTCTCGTGTTTGCCGTGCAAGGATATGATCGTCGGCTCCGAACGCGCAATCATCAACGTATGTTTGATGACGTAGAACAGGGACGGCCAACGGAAATTGAGCACCGTCATCTTCAGCGAGTTGGTCTAGCACTCGAAGAGCGAGATACGGAGCGGCGGCAGTGCCGTACGTCACGGTAAGAAGACGGTAGTCGCGAACAGGTTCGCTGGGAGAAGAGCGCCATAGAATGCGCTGGTAATCAGTATCGCGGAAGTCAACTAAAATTTGACGATACATTTTGGCGATATCGGCGGTAAATACGTAACGATATTGGCGCCACTGCATTATGACAGCGGCCAAATCCTTTTGAAGTTTAGGTCCGATAAACATATTATCGTTTAACGAGGTTCCGTTAGTGGTACGGCAGGATGCATTAAAAACAACCCGCAGTCGAGTAGTTGCACTACTGTCACGTAAGACAGCATGATGCGGTATGTAATAACTTTGATCCGGTTGTACAATTTCTGTCGGTGGAATTTTGATCATATGACCAAGGTTTTCGTATTCCGTGAGAAAGTCGTGGTATTCTGAAGCGATAGATGGATTGCGTTTGAAACGTCGCTCTAAGCGATAGAGGCTCGATTCGGCAATGAAGCGAGATTCTCCTAACGAGAGTGGTGGTCCGGTTTTAAACGGTAATCT